CTTTCTATTTGGTTTAACCCTATAACCGCAGTTTTAATTTTACAAATCTAGTTTACTACTGCTTTTTACAAGGGGTCTCCAAGTGGGTTTGCATGCACAGCAGAAAAATCAGCTGTACCTTTAATTTGCTCTGTCAGCCTTTCCAGTTGTTTTACAGGGAAGTTTGGTCAAATTTAAAGAACAGATGCTGTCTTTGGTTTAACCGAGGGATGATTTTGATATGCTCAAACATAAGCAGCACTTCGTATAAGTGAATATAACTAAGTGAATTACTCAGGGCAGGTTAACAGTTTCACTTCGAAGTAAGAAAAACTTGACTTATTTTGCTTTCTGATGGTTAAAGAAGGGAAATATGTGGATAAGAAGCTTACATTACAACAAACCAGCTCCCCAGACAATCAAAAATCCTCCATGTGCATAGCAACATAATGGAAATCTGTGGTAACATTTTTGCATCGACTTACCTCACTCCCATCTTACAGTCCATTACACAAGGGTAGTCAAACTCAGCCAGCAGATCCTCCATCTGGTTATACTTCTGCCCATCCTTCTCCACGTCTCCATGATAACCAGGAACATACGGTCGCAACACATCTTCCATCAGCCGGGACAAGCAGCGCTGCTCGCATTCACAGTGTTTCTGAAAGAAATTATAAACAAATAAGCTTTAATCAGAATCCAAAATATGTGGAAGCTGTTAATAACAGAGGTGATTTAAAAGCTAAATCATTACCTTTAATATACGTCCATTCGCGCCTGCCTTAAAGCTCCCTGTGAAGAGAAACAGTGAGAGCTGTCTTAGCTTAAGTTAACTCCCTGAAGTCATCTCAGCTGTTATTTACATTTTTGTCAAACAATGAAGTACTGTAGGGTCCAATATGATATGTAGCGGTACGCTACAGGCTTCCGTTTTCCAGCTTGATGTTTCGCAGCATTCAGGACTCAAGCAGACCCTTTTATTTCTCCAGGAAGGCCTCTGTGTTCTCGAGCATGTGCCTACATACCTGCATGTCCAGCCAGTTGGATCCAGGGATACTTCTTCTTGAAGGACATAACAAATGGAGACCAGTGGACCATGTTCTTTATCTTCTTCCATGACTTGTGCTACATAAACACACAGAGAAACAAAGAGTCTCATTGGGTTATCCTTCAAATTATTCTTATAGACTACTTCTATTTTACATAGCAATGCTTGGCCATGGGGTACGCTAACTTTCTAGATGGTTATTTTCATAATAATTACTTTGAGTGAGGATAAACTGCTCTATATACAAACTAAAATATCTGTCATTTTTAGAAAACATAGTCAGAACTGAGTCAAATGTACCTTGTAGAGCTTTTGGATTTGAAGTCACAATCTATCTATCTAAGAGGAGCATGAATTATAATGAAAAAAACAGCGGTTTCAGATATGATTTTTCCTTTTCTTAAAAAAAAAGCTTCTAATAACATTTACAATTTACCTGAAACCACTTCCTTTTTCCAAGCAGCTAAGATACCTGTCACTACCCGATCCATCCCGGAAGCTCGATCCATTCTGCACATGCGCCATCAGCGCATCCAGATATACTTCCGGGTCATCTTCGATTTTATTTTGTTAAAAATACCTAAATGACATTTTCCCATCCCAAAAATAGTAAACATACTCAAATATAATGCATTAAAAGGTTAATAATGTATTTCTTGAGAAAACAAATTCCTTAAAATCCTTTCTATTATCAGTCGTCTCTGCCCGATATGCAACGGAAATGGGATCCTACGCTACTTTCTGGAGCTAACTTTTTCAGCTTTGGTTTAAAACATAAATCTAGTGTTTTTTTAAGTTTTATGTTTTCGTTTTGTTTTAACCTTATGCTATATAGTGCATATTCTAAAGAAAGAAAAAACAAAAAATGCAGATAAACAGGGTTTAATCATATTTCACCGGACTGCTCTGAGCATGTCTGATGATGACGTCAGAGAAGCAGTTTAACAAAGAAAATGTAAAAGGCATTAAAATTGTCTCACAAAAGTCATAAAACATTTTTTTTCAGATGTGTATTACTATTCTTCAGTGAGTTAAGGATAGAAATAAGTAGTTTTAGTACCATAATTACATTATTTATGGACATTTATGAACGTATATCTGTTCACGCATGCGCAAAACGGATCTTGCTTCCGGGACGGATGGGGTAGTGACAATGCCTGTTGATGCATCTTCTACACATACCAGGGACCCAATCTAAAGGCCTTTGCTGCCATCTGGAGGTCAGAGTGCATCCAACTGATAAAGGAGCAAAGATGTATTGTAATATTTTGGACAACTATGTCTAATGTTGCTATTGTGCGGCAATGTTCTTTGAAATTTGAATTCAAAAATGCTTTAGTAATCCCAAAGGGTAATAAAAATGTAGTAACTGAAATTATTTCAGTTACTACATTTTCTAGACTATAAGCGGCTACTTTTTCCTATACTTTGAACCATGCAGCTTATAAGAAGGTGTTGTTTCTTTGAAACATTCAAAACCAGATCAAAGGTCACTGGATCTGAACCTTTTAATCCATAAATGATTTTACATTAGCCTGTGCTGGCTCAGGTCTGATGAAAGTGACAACCAACATCAACATCCCCTAACATTGTGCACAGTGGCATGCATGAGTTGTTTGTTTTAGTAAAGATATGCACAATAGATATCTTTCCCTGCTTATAACCGACTCTCTGCATGAACCAGGAGTGGTTTATATATTGATATTTTACATCTAAATGTGCACACTGTGTATTTACCCCTTAAATGTACATTTAAATGTAGAGGGGAGGCAGTGGTTAAATTTGCCATTTAGAGAAATAAACACTTCTTCACACACTCTCTTTGTCAGTTGCCTCTGACCCTGAGGAACCGACTTTTATTTTTTTACATTCGTTGTTTTCTAACATTTAAACTAAACCCTGGAGCACCAAGCCAGGGTTTCCCCTGGTAACTCACACAAATAAACACGGCATTTCAGAAAAGGCTCTCCCTGTCCCTGGCAAGGAAGCATTGAACTGTGGGAGTCCTGCCTGACAAACAGACACTCATTCACAAAGTGACACACAAACAAAAACACACACACACACACACACACACACACACACACTGGCACAGCAATGTTGTTGCAACACAAACATTTTTTTCCTCTGATTTAAATACAAACCTTCCTCATTTTCTATTTCTCTGGCCTAGAAGAGCTTAGACTTTCCTTTAATAATTATCTTTCTCCTATAATGTCACATTACAACCATCAGCTTTGCTACATGCCGCTGGGTTTTTATGTGACAAACCAACAAGTGCATGAATGTGAAATGGAAGGACTTGTGGTTTTCATGAGTAAAAATCAGAAAAGTTTTGGTGCGCATTTATATCAAGCACCCCAAATAAGTCCTTTAGAGATCATCTAATTAGTAAACGGAGTCCACCATGTCAGCATAAATACTGTTAGTCAGCAGAAGAAAAACAGGTTTGTTAGAAATAAGTAGTTAGCAAACAGCATCGGGGGACTAAGGAACACAGCTGAATTTAAAGCAGGTTAAAGTTATATGACTAAACTGTAGACTGAACTTGACTTATGGGTTCTAGGTGTGAAGTCCAGCTTAACACCTACAGATATGAGTGTCTCCCTAAACTGAGAGGCTAAGCAAGTAGAAAATTATTTAGAGAAAATGCAAACCAAAAGAAACCAAAGAAGCTACAACTGGTTCAGATGAGACAAAAATAAAGGACGACAGGAGTTGTAAACATTAAAGATCCCCATGCAAACACATTCCTAAGTGTAAAACATAGTGGTGGCAGCATCATGCTGCTGGGAAGCCTCAACATGCAGAGATTTGCAGAGATGCAAAGCTGGTAGAGATATGTCCCAACAGGCTCACAGCTGGAGGCTAATTTAGTGTGCATAAACCTGGAGCACAACAGCGTTGAGTGAAAATAATGAATTGCTATTGTGCATTGAAAACTGGATGTGAATCCAAGCAACCCTACGTTGGTTCTTTTTTGATGTGGGGTTCATTACACTGAATGGAAAAATGCTGCTCAGACAAAAGGGTTCAAACAAACTGTTCAATATGAAGCCAACAGCGACTATAACCGAGCTTTAAATCTACTGTATGTTAAAAATGACATCCCTGAGAGATGATTTTCTCTTCTCTGTGAACGGGAGCAAAAATATTACGTCTCCAAATAACTTGAGGGAAGAAGAGGAGCTGCCACAGGAGAAGTGAGGAGAAGAAGGATAAGATAAGAGAGGAGAGGACCATAGAAGGAGACATTTAACCCAAGTCAATAATCTGGACCTGAAGAAAATTCATCATCTGTTACTGTGACTATCTATGGTTAAACTTTTCCACGCAGAGTGGGTTTTATTATTTTTATTTTTTCATTCAGAGCAAGTCAAAAGTCACATGATGTTCTTTGCCTTCGGAGCAGTGAAGAGTTTAGGAAAAAACGGCCTCCCGTTCAGGCAGCAAAAGACACTCAAACCCTGACGTTTATAGAAATCACATGATGGAAACTCATTAGGAGTGAGCTCATCTGAAATGGGTCCCTGAGCAGAACGTCTAAACTTCTCAGAACTGTCAGTTTCAAGGTCCAGCAAACAAAAAGACATTTACTTTGGAATTTTGGAAAAAAAAAAAAGAAAAGAAAGAAAAAACTCACAGGAGAGAGGGTTGTTTAAATAGGGAATTATGGCGGCCCGGAGGCAGGAAATGATTTAGTGCACATGCACTATTGCTAATTGATGCTGGAAATGAACAAAATGGCTAAAGCATTCAACTATCAGCCAACATCTTGGTTTTCTAAACATTCTCAAGGTTTGGAAATTATCTTATGCTTGTTAACATGTTCAGCCAATGAGAAGGAAGAAAAAATAGTTGTCTACTGGTCTTCCTCTGTGGTCATATTTTCCAGCCTGCAGTCCACTGACAGCTGAGGGCAAGAGGCTGCACTGGCTTAACAAACGACCTCCAATGTTTTCACTAATGTAAAGGAATAAAGCATCAATTATCCTACTAGAGCCGCAGGAATCATTACTGCCCAAAAAAATCCACAAGATCAAAACTTTCAAACATGACAGAAGAAGAACTAATCCAGCTCCTGAAAGCTATCTGTAGTAAAATTACCTGCGGGGGTGAAGATACCTTAGGGGTGCTCCGTAGCTGGATGACAGCGATGATCAAGATGGCAACGAGTGACGCCCCAATGCTCCAAAGTGAACACAGCCATACGGACCACATCATGACAAATGGGCTGCCAAGTCAACCAGACAAACCGACAGGAATGACGACCTGTCCAGATCTGTTCAGCTAAAAACCCTCCGGCTCCTCAGGCTCCTCTCTTAACTTCCACCGCATTTACACCTGTCTGATTGTTCGCAGGCACAAACAATTGTGGAGTCATTTGATTGTCAAACCAGAGGGTAAACACAATCTGGACATGCAAATCTCTGCACAAGGCCAGACATTTGAAAAAAGCAGATGGAGCTAAGAGTGAGTCCAAGGATCTGCTGTGGTCCAAAACAATCGATGAGCCAATTATTATCTTATACAGAACATTTATTATTCCAGGTATAATATTTAAATCAGCCTATATCCGTTAATTATTTTCTACCTCTAGAAGAATAAGATGATCCCATAAAATACCTTCGGTTTCACATGTTTGTGTTAACTTGCTGCAGGCTGAACTACAGCTTCAACAGGAGAGTTTATTTAGACTTGAGGTGATTCAGTGCAGGATCTGCTACAGACACAAGAACACATTAAGTGCTGCACTCAGGTAGGAGCAAAGTTGAACTTTTTTTCTTCTGTTTTATGTGGCAAAAGTTACCACCAGACCTAAGCTGAATATAGCGTCCCCTCTGTGAAACACGGCGGCGGCTGTTTTATCCTCAGCAGGCTCTGAGAAACTGGTTAGAGTTGAGGCCAAGTTGGATGGAGCTTAATACAGGACATTCTGGCGTAGAGGTTTATCACTGACCTTCAGCCAGAGCTACAGAGGATGCTTTAGATCAAAGCCTTTTCATGTGCTAGAAAGGCGTAGTCAGAGAAAGAATATGTGGCAAGACATAAAACTAGTGTTGCGCCGATGCCATTT